TGCAGGGTAGATTTCAAATAGAAAAATGGAAAAAAAATGTGTTTTGTGATTTTTATTTTTTATTTTTTTCCCAGCCCTCTGCATCAGCATATGGTATAGTCTAATAGCTATTTCCAGTGCCCTGACAATCTGGTTGGCTTTTATTTCCAACAGAATTCAAGAACTACTCATGGTAGTTAATTCTGAGTACTGCTCTTAGGATATTTAGAAGGGTGGGAAACACAGAAAGCATATGTGCTTTATATCTTTCTGATAAGAATATTAAAAGTACTGGAAAGGAAACAGCTGTATTGTACCCATTTCTCCATGTGTCTGGAACATCTCCATGATAGTAGTTTCCAGATTCTTGCTTATGTTGTATTTGTCCACTTTTGGTATTGGACTGTCTAATGCAAGTATAGAGTAGTACAAGAAAAACATTGTCAGTGCTAACTTTGTTTATTTATCTTTGGCAAAACTGATGACTTTCCAAAAGTCACCATGATCACAAGAATCACAAGGTTGGAAACGACCTATAAGATCATCCAGTCCAACCGTCTCCTCATCACCATTGCCACCACCAGTACTAAATTGATGTACTGCATTAACATACTCTAACGTTTGTGACATAACAGGAATGGGTTGAGTTTAGGGAGTATCACTGAGAGCTGAGAAACAGCTGAGCTAGTCATGGTTGTCAAATTTTTCTGTAGTTTAGCTTCTGTATTTCTGATGGGGAAATGTTTGGGTACTCATTCTGCCTTGTAACAAAGAAAATCCAGCTTCGGCTGGTAAAAGCAGCCATTTCTCCTAACTCCCTGTTATCTGTCTATAACTATTGTCTATCTGTCTATAACTGTGTGGCTCCATAAAACTCAGCCTACACTGTTTCCACCCAGTTCTCCATCAGAAGGCATGCACCACATCATCGTGCTTCGCCCTGCTAGACTGAGTGACTTTTTTTTTTTTTAATTAACTCATAGAATTGATTCTTCTTCAACTTTTTCGCTCAAGTCATCTTTTCTGATCTTGTTTTTGTTACCTTTATCTTGTTGTCAAACAGGTTTTAGGGAGAGATTGCTCACCATACAAAACTCTTTCTGCTCCCCTGAGCAACCAAGGCTTTGTTCCTGGGACCAAACGCTGTGGCACCACAGCCAGGAGAAGAACTAGGACAGGCCAGGGAAGGCCTGGGAACATTTTGTTAAACTGTTAAAGATCATGAAAGGGAAACATTGGAAGGGACGGAGGGAACTGATGCAATTATGCTGAGCATTTCACGAGTTTACTGTTGCTCTCTGTGGCCTCAGTTCCCCAAATGAGCTTTGACACAGTTGACTAACAGCTGATGAGCTAATGACTGAAGGTTTATGCAGTGTCTCAAAGGAGCACTGCTGTGCCCAGTAGCATCCCTGTCAGTAGTGTCAAAGGAACCAGAATACTAAGAGACTCTTGCAACAGCAATGCCTTCTTTTGTGTGTGTGCCGTGGCTGGTATTCCCTTACATAGCTGTCCTCTGCTCAGCTCAGTTGAGGTTATTTCCCACCCACCTTCTAAGAGCAGATTCACAGTTAGATATCTGGGGACGTTTTTGATACCATCTAGTGAGAGAAGAATGTAAACTGATGTCACCCCAAATGTTGAGAGGCTGAAGGAGAATCTTCGTAGGGACTGCATGGAAATAAATCAGACAACTAAGTGACTATCTAAAGCTACTGAGCCTTACTCAACCTTGCCTTGCTTCATTTCTTGCCAGGTTGTTGGAATTAAGGCTACAACTGAATGTATCAGTACACAAATGGGTGTATCAGTACACAGATGGGTGTATCAGACACTCATCTGTTACAACAAGAAGAGCACCATTAAACACCATACAGCTTTACACTGTTTCAGGATTTGTTATTTTGTCCTTTTGATTTGTCCTCATCACCATTATTCTGTGATTATTTCAGGATGAAGTAACAGATAAAGAAGGGAGACTTCTGTGGCTTCTTTCACATTTTCAGCTTAAACCTAATTTTTGGTATATGACTGCTATGAAGAAACACCCATAAACTGAAACTGTATGAACATGCAGAATGTGTGCTCCAGTTCTTGCCCACATAGGTGGAGAGCAGCAGCATTGATTTTGCTGGCTATTATTCATACTCTGCATTACAGAGAGAATGAAGGGGGGTAGGTAATTAGAGCCCCCTTACATTGCTGCATTGCCTTTCAACAAATCAGCTGGAGTGAATCCCTGTTCATCTGCTTGGGAGTGTTTTTTTGTTTGGCTGTTTTTAGTATGCTTTCCCATGTCATCTCTAACTCCATTAATCTGCAGAAAACAGGAAAACATTGCCTATTCCAGGGATGCACTGTTTTTTTTTTTTATTATTGTTTTGTTTGATCAGTGAATCCATGGGAGAATTTTCAAAGCTGATTTTTACTGTTCTTAGTTGTTTTCTCTTGCTCTATTTCACTGTTTTAAGCCTCCAAGTTTCTGGTCAATTAATGTGACAGGAGCCCCGTAGGTTATGTTTGTTCATGGTAGACATGTCTTCTTTCATTAGGCCAGCCTAACAGCTGCAGAGTTTAATGTCTTAGCTACTGTATAACTGCCCGTTTGTAATGGTTTCCTGAAACAATAAAAGTGTGTGTGTTAGGAAGTGGGGGGAGATGCTCACATTGCTGCATTAAAACAAGAGCAGAGAAGGAAAATATTAATGTACAGAAGTGCAGATTTTCTTCTGTTCTGAAGATTTATTTTAATCTCTCTTCATTTCTGAGTCTCAAATATTTCCCTGTCTCCCATAATTGTTGAGAGCTTGGTCCCAGACCCTTCTGTTATTTGGGCTGGACATAGTGGCGAAAGGTTCTGTCACTCTAAGGAAATCCAAGACTTGACACACACCCAAATGTTTTTCAAACATAGTCAATAGTCTCGGATTTGGAAATGCGACTCTCAGAAGTGATATGTGGAAATCATCTTTCATTAGCTAATGTTAGCTCTGTTCCTAAAGATTTCCCCATAGCTCTGAATTTTCTCTAAAGCTGTTTTTATTTTTTGCTGCTATTTATCAAGCTTTCTTTGAACACTGTCCAACAGTTTAACTCCCTATATCAATAGACTTGCCCATTAAAAATATTTACGGTACTGTTTAGTCACTATCAATTATTCCTGCCATTGAAGGTTAGTTAATAAGATATCATATCTTTGTTCCATTTTCTAGGAAGCTCCTTCAAAGAATTAGGCAATTAAGGCAATGCTTGGCAGTTCAGATCCCAAGTTCCTACTATTTTTCACTGATACTCAATTTTAGAAATATTAAAATTTTAGGAATTAACACTGCATTCATATAAATTGTGCGTAATTCTACTATTTGCAGAACTTTTTGCAAGAGATGCATAAACAGGAATGATTCAAAGCCGTGGTGGAAGTCGTATTTTTGAAACATACCAACTTAAATATGTCATTATACAGTAAGCAGAAATTGTGGTGAACAGCTTAATATTAGCCTACATTTCCCAGTTAATTGCACGGACATGTGGCTTATTCATGATAGAAGTAAGCATTCTTTAAATTTATTAGGAATATTATTTTAACAGTTTCTTTTCTTTTGCTTCATCACATTTCCAGCATCACAGAAGCACACAGACCCAAGAAAATAAATGAATTAGAATGCAACAGAGCACCTAGTCCTTCTCTGATTGAAGTTAATGGGAGATCTGCTTTGAATTTGAACTGAAGCTGAATTTATTCAAAACAGGATTAGGACAAAATGTATATAGTTTTCTTCCAAATTTGTTTTCAGGAAATTTAATTATAAACAGGATAAAATGATAGGAAATTATATTTCATGATAGTACAAATTTCTATTTATACATAGAATTATGGTTACTAAAGCTAGAGCATACTCACTACTCTCTACTTGCTCCTTATATAATTGAGAGGTCTGTCCAATTCATCTTTAAATAATATACAAAATGAAACTTGTGCCATTTCTCCAGGTTTGCAGTATATTGTTGTACAGGATGTCTCCTATGAAATTATGCCTAGTTTTTCCTGAGGCATTTTTCTATATTAAATATTGAAGATAGATTATTAAAGCTTAACTATTATAGTGAAGTCTTTTTTTGTCTTTTTTTTTTTCTTCTGCACAGTCTTTGGGAGTCTGAAGATTTCAATGTAGTCTTTTTGCACTTGGAGCCCAGAATGTTTTCATAAGCCCACATCCCATCAAAATTTCACTGAAGAGCCCAAGTCCACAACTCCATTCAGTGGATGCTAAATCCACAGTGTTCCTAAATTTTGAAGATTTTTAAGGTGTTGAACATGTTATGGGGTATAACTGAAGTTCTGCTGAACTAGGACTCTCCCACCTTTTTCTTTTTGTCTTCAATTCCAGTCCTTGTGGTGGAACTGATCTCTCAGAAAACTACTCCTCAGGAAAATGAGGGAAGGAAGGGTTTTTTAGCATTGGTGAGTTCCCCAATGTTCATGTCACTCAGAGCTGTGTGAGTGCTGGCACGGACCTCCAAGACAGCATAATACAAAGCTGAAATAATTGTCTGTAGACAGCACAGCAGAAGGATGTACTCTTTGAAAAGCATGTAGGATGGTAGCTCAGCAAGTGCTGGAAGCTAAATTTGAAGTTCTACCTGTGATGCTTGTTTTGATGGTGCTCAACTGTTTTCTACATCAATACCCCAAAACTAGGTTTCGCTTTGTCTTTGTCAGTCAAAGAACTAGATTTAATTGGTGCTTCACATTGCATATTGGGCTCTCTTTTACTGTGAAAGAGTATACGCTTCCTTCAATGGTAAAATATCCTCAATTTTCTCCCCTGCCTGAGCAAATTCAGGACTTCATCTTCCGTCTTCAGAAAGACTGCCATTGTTAGTGGACCAGGTGGATTTTGAAAGAGACGAAGTTTTTCCTCTCTCCGAGGCGTAATGGACTGTAGCCTTGTAGCAGTCCTTTTTGTTCTTTTCTCAGACAGCTCCTGTATTAACTGCCCTTTGCCTTTTCTCCTTTGCAGGTGGCCTCCCTCGGAGTCACCACGTTCACGCTTTGCGCGCTCTGCATCGACCGGTTCCGCGCTGCCACCAACGTGCAGATGTATTATGAGATGATTGAGAACTGCACCTCGACGACAGCCAAGCTGGCCGTCATTTGGGTGGGGGCCCTGCTGCTGGCACTGCCGGAGGTGGTGCTGCGCCAGCTGACCAAGGAGGACCCCGAGTACAGCGGCAGCCCGCCCGGGGAGCGCTGCGTGGTGAAGATTTCCACCGCACTGCCTGACACCATCTATGTGCTGGCTCTTACGTACGATGGGGCAAGACTCTGGTGGTACTTTGGCTGCTATTTTTGTTTGCCGACTCTTTTCACTATTACCTGCTCCCTGGTAACAGCAAGGAAAATCAGGAGGGCGGAAAAGGCTTGCACTAGAGGGAACAAGCGACAAATTCAGCTGGAAAGTCAGATGAACTGCACAGTGGTGGCTTTGACCATTTTATATGGGTTTTGCATAATTCCTGAAAACATCTGCAACATCGTGACTGCCTACATGGCCACAGGGGTCTCTCGGCAGACTATGGATCTCCTCCATCTCATTAGCCAGTTTCTCTTGTTCTTTAAATCCTGTGTTACACCAGTCCTCCTTTTCTGTCTCTGTAAACCTTTTAGCCGGGCCTTTATGGAGTGTTGCTGTTGCTGCTGTGATGAATGCATCCAGAAATCTTCAACGGTGACAAGCGATGACAACGACAATGAATACACCACAGAGCTGGAGCTCTCCCCTTTCAGCACCATCCGCCGCGAAATGTCTACTTTTGCCTCTGTGGGGACTCACTGTTAATCGACATTAGGACTTCATTTTTTGTATCTTTTTTCTTTCTTTCTTCTTTCTTTTCTTCCCCGAAACTTCATATTTTTCTATCTGGAAGAAAACTATAAGAAAAAAAAAAAAGATTACTGAAAAGTACTCTGGAAATCAATCTGCATACTAACAGTCATGCTCTGCAACATAATTTGTCTGGTTATTAAAATGAAAGAAACGGAGAGAAGGATAGCTTAATACTCATTTTTAAATCATGATATTTTGTATGGTGCTAGGATTTCATTATTTGGGGAGAAGGATCTGTGTCTGTCCACTTTTATTTAATTTTGTGATTGTTTTGATAATCACTGTAAAATGATTATATAGACATTGTGGGTTTTGCAGGATGTTTAATGTAAAAGATGTGGTGGAGAGTATTTGAAGGTGGTTTTAATCCAATTACTGTACACTGTTGTGAGAGAACTTGGACTTTAAAAAAACTTATAAAGCAGCATAAAAATAAATGAGGTTTTATTCTTAACTTCCTTGTCAATCTACATTCAACAAGGATCACCTCTAGTATTAACTTCCTTTAATAAGTACGAAATCTTTACTTTGCATAAAATAATTTAAATGGTCTTATTTAATTTGCCATTCATGTGCTTGTGCTCGGAGGCTACAATTAGAGTGTTTAAGGAAGATGGTTATAATGGCATTAGATTTACATGAATGGATTTTTAACACATATTATAAAGATCCAGTGTGCCTCACCGAAACTTTCCTTCTTGACCTGAAAGTATATAAAACCTGAGCTATTTTGTACTTCATGAGAAGGAAGATCTCCTTTCTTGCTAAATTTTGTCTTGTATGGCTTCAAAATCAAATTTCTTTCTGATTTGTTACTGGTTTTACATTGAGGTTGTGTCCTCCGTCCCTGTGTATATACCTTCTGATGGTTGCAGTGAGTCCTGCTGCAGAAGGAAGGCATTCTTTTGCCAGGGGTTTGCTGACAATAAATGTGAGGGACTGAAAAATGTGGAGAGTGGATTTCTTCTTAAAAAAAAAAAAAAAAAAAAAAAAGAAAGAAAAAGAAAAAAAGAGATACAAACACACTTGGACATTTGGGGCTTGACCCAGAACCCATTGCAGTCAGTGGAAAGCTTTCCAAACATTTCCGAGGGCTTTGGATCAGAGTGGCATCTCCTATTTATTCTGGTATATGCAGCATGAATATTAATTGCGGGGGCTGTGTATACAGGTTATAAATCATGCTGCTCTCACAGAGACTGCCATTCACCAGCAGCTCACAGTGCTGAAGCTGTTCTTGAGATCCACAGAATGTTTTGTGATGGTATCTTGCTGTCCACAGACTTATTAAAATGGGGATATGTCAACACTGCAAGCAACATTGTGGTATAGTAAAATCTGAGGTTGTTAGGAGCAAGCTGGATTGGAGACAGGAAGGAGCCCATCCATACCAGCATAGTTTGTTTAACGCCAGTTCTTGGCTGAAGTAAGCAGACTGCTCTGGGCTAGCAAGTTGTCTCATACACACCCTGGGCATTGGGCTGAGATGTAGGCACATGCTAAGTAACAGAATTTGTTATAATTAGCTTATATTTTAGTACTAACTAGTTAAACTAGCTGACTAGCTAACCTGCCTCTAACTACGTTAAGGAACTTGTGACTTTTGGAAAGGAGTCTATTTTTATTTTCTTTGTAGATTCTGGATTTAATGTGTTCAATCTTTGTATCTGCTTGGCAAGCAGTATTCCCTCTTTTTCATCACTGTTTTAACGTATAGAAAATTCAAATGAAAAGCAGCAGCATCTGAAACTGAATAAAAATGCACTTGAGTTTCTCATTTTTGAAGTAAGCTCTAACAGAAGCAGTTTAGTTTGAGCAGAGGCCTAAATTTAAGTAAGTGATTCTCTTTAGGACTTGCTGTGATATGTAAGTTGTCAAAATAATTTTGTAAGAATGTCAGTCACTTTTTAGGACAGGGGAACAGTCCCTTCTTCCTAAACCTCTCATTGACTTCACCTTGCTGGTTAAGTTCAATACACTGTGAAATGTATCAAAGAGAAAAGGTAAAACTGGTATCTCTTCACTGTGGTGCCTGTCTCCTCAAATACATTTTCCCATCTCTGCAATTTGATTTGTACTATTCTTTTTTAGGTGCCAATATTTGTACAGAACGGGAATAAAACTCCCTCTTTGTTTCTGTCATGTTGCTTGCGCTCAGTTGTTTCTTTTCAGTCACAGCACAGTGTGGTTCAAGGACTTCAGAAAAGAACAGTAGAATGTGAAGAAGCACTTTTTTTCCTACAGAAATAAATACAGAAATTACTTTGGAATATTAAATTGTGATGTTTTGCTTAATGCAAGGCTACACCGGAGCAGAAGTCCCCAGCAGTCTTGGGCATGAGGTGCCTGCCTTCTTCTCTCCAGCATGCAGTGGGTGGGTGTGATATCTACTGGCGTTCTCTCCCAGGTTAAGCACTCTGTATCCCTCAGTGTTGCAGTGCTTCTCCATTAAAATATTTCCTTAATATGTGAATCTTACTGGGGGGAAAAATCTGGGGAGAAAAAAAAAGAAAAAACAGAGGTTTTAAATGTCACCGCATAGTGTAGAACCTGGAGATCAGTAATGCAGAATGCACCCTCCTGGTAGTGTAGTGGAGCATTCTCCAGCCTTGTGTTCAGTGGGGCTTCTTTGTATCCAGTGTAATCGTGCCTCTTCTGCTGCTGGAAGACCTTTCTGACAGCTATTTGTTTCCTAAATCTGTTAAACTAATCTCACATTAGCAGGTTTGCATTGTTGCAGCCTGAGACAGTGGTTCTGACAGGGGCATGGCTTGTTAATGCATTAAATGTCATGATAAAAGATTGCTTTTGTTAAAGATGGGCATTTTTTTTTAAGATGGAGTACTGCACTCTTTTTTTTTTTTTTTTCCTTCTGGAGACACTGATGTGCTGAACACTTGCATTTCCCTGGTGTTTGCTTTTCTTACATTTTTAATATTCTTAGGAGCCATTTCTGACTGTTATGAATCTAGTTCTGTAAAGCATTCATCTATTAACATGGGAGCATTTAATAGATTGATGAATGAACTGTTTATGGCAAGAGTTTAATTATTTTACATTAAACAGTGAAACACTCAGGGATGGCGACCAGCATAAAAGAAGCACAATGGAATGGAAAATCAGATTGTGAGATAAAGAAGTCTTATACTTCCCAGATGTTGATGTGTTAATACCTATCACCCCAGCCCTGGTCACATAAAGAAATAAAGAAATATACTGCCCTATTAAGAGCTCCAGTATCTCCAGTGAGATTAGTTTTCATGACATGCATCAAAAAAGTGATCTGTGCGCAGACCAAAACCATAGAGATTGTGTATTACTGAAAAAAACATTGCTCAGCTAGAAGGAATCTTGTGTTTTACTCCTTTCATGATAAGTTCCTGCATTCATCCTGAAATAACTCCTTCTTCAAAATGTGACTTTTCCAGCTCCTGTTGTGTCACTGGAGCCTGCATGTAAGCTTCCACAGTTGCTGTGCCAGCAGCTCTGAGAATGGCTCCAAAGGACAATATAGAGCTTCCAAGTGTGGTCCTACATATTTTCCTAAGAAATTTCACAGTGTTAAGATAAATGATGGTACAACTGTCATATTGATCTTATAGATCTGAGAGGCAAACTAGACTCTGTGATGGAATTGTCCATTTCAGGTACTAGTAAGAGTAATTACCATGGGTTACCTTAACAAAAGGAAGTCCAATAACTTGCCATCAGCATTTCCCTCTTTCCCAGCTCTTTCTGTCCACTGATGTCCAGAGGGTCATTCCCTAGAAAAGAATAATTTGTAGGCTGTGTGGCAACATACTCGTAGGTTAAGTGGGTCAGTGCTGGCCAGAAGCCTGCATACACATCTTTGATGCTCTAGGTTACAACGCTGTCTTGGAGAGACTATCGCAAATATGGATGAAGTTGTGCATATATTTTTATTCTGGAGGATTAAGCTATAAGGCCAGCTGCCTGTAGAAAGCTGGCTCACGTCAGATCACTAAGAATCTAGACCTAATGATCTGCTCTAATTACAAAAGATAACTGGGACCTTTCAGTAGAACTTCCATGTCACAGAATCATAGAATGGCTTGGGCTGGAAAGGGCCTCAATCACTGGTTTCCAACCCCCGCCACAGGCAGGGCTGCCAGCTGCTAGATCAAGTACTAGATCAGATCACTCATCCAACCTGGCCTCAAACACCTCCAAGAATGGGGCCATCCACAGCCTCTCTGGGCAGCCTTTTTCAGCACCTCACCACTCTCTCAATAAAAAACTTCCTCCTGATATCTAATCTAAATCCACCTCCCTTTAGTTTAAAACCTTTGCCCTATGACTATCTACCCATGTAAAAAGTTGATTTCCTTCATGTTTATAAACTCCCTTTAAATACTAGCTTCTTAAGTGTTCACCTTAAGAATATCCTTCTTTTGCAGGCTGGAGACCCAGTAAGTTATGAGTAATGACAATTTTTCTTAATAGCTTTGAGAAATGTAATTAGAAAGAAAGTGTTACCAGGCATTTTCTGTGATGATATCTCTTTTTTTTCTTTTTTCTTTTCTTCTTTCCAACCCTTATCTTTCCCTGTGAAGTTCAGTTCAGCCAAAGTCAATGAGCAGATGATGTAAATTAAAACTGTCTCCTACATGCACTTTATCATGCTTCAGGAACTTTAGTTTTTCACTATTGTTTTGATGGAGTCATTTAACACCTACGTTTAGCAGATGTTAAATGTCAAATTTTCAAAAGCTCAGTATATTTTGCAGTGAATAAGAAAGGATGAAAAAGGCATGGACTGAGATGCTCCAAGATACGCAGGCACTTCTGCTATGGAAATACCCATGTAGAGGACTACAAGTTCATCAATGTATGAGACAAAGAAGTACACCCACGTCTTACGTTGAACCCCTGCAATATGGTCAATTTATTTACACTGAAAAATTTTAGTAGCATCACAAAGTGAGAACAAA